CGCAATATGGTTCATGGGGTCACGAAGAGTCGGACACGACTTAACGACTAAACAACAACATGCTTAAATATTCATAAAGATAAATAAAGTGGAAAGGGATAAAGTTGACTAAGTGATCAGATATAGCAGGGCATACACCGTATTATTTAATTTCTAGGACCTGTAACATTTTAGCACTATTACAGACACTCCTTCTTATCACAGCAGGTGGCAGCATCTACCTGACCTTGTCTGATCTGAGAAAAGCTAAGCAGAGTCAGACCTGGATGTTACCTGCAAGTGAGACTACTGTACAGAAGATCCAAGGGCTGTATGACTGGGAATTTGAAAAAAAATTTAATGGCAAACTACGTCCATATTTTTGTCAAGCAAACATGTCCAAGTAGTCATTAACAGTCAAGTTCAATATAATGGAGACTTTTCTTTTTTCCACTGTTATATTAGGCACACTTCTTTATTTTAGAAATGTATAGGGCTGCCCAACTCTGGATGGCATACAATAAAAACCATTACACAATATAATTAAAACAAAAAACAAAAACAAAATAAAAAAATCCTAAATGCCATTAAAAGGCAAGGAAACATGTAAGACCTTCCACCAACTCTAACCTATGGAAAGAGCAGTGATGAAAAATAGATATGTATGCCCAAATTACTGCCATTTGAGCAAAAATGCTGACAGAAGTTAGTTGCACAATAATGGAAGTTTCACTTTGTTTCACTTCCATTATTCCAACATAATGCAAGATGACTTGAATTTCTCCTCATCAACAAAGTTCATCAACAAGGCTGCAGTCCTATGATTACTTCTTTGGGAAATAATTCCCATTAAATGCAATGGGACTTTCTCCTGAGGAAATCCTATTTCTACTTTCTACATGAAAGAAGCTCTAAGTGTTACCAAGGATCTTTATTTGGGAAGATTTCTTCCTTATCACATCTTTTATAGACCAAGTATTGTTACTTTTTTTCCTAAGTAATATTTTACTACATGGCATGGTATTATGAAAGTTTTATAAAGCTATGCAGTAATACTCTGTTCCCTCTCTCAAAAACAAAATTTTAAAAATATAGTCCAGCCACAAGCATTTAGTTTAACTTGAAAACTTCTTTAGCCAGTTAGCCTTCCTTCTGCAAAGTTAATTCACCTTCATCCCATATTAAGTAGCTTTTTCATTGCATTTCAGCTTCCATCACCCACCTCTTTGTGGCCTTATCTGCAAAGTATGGTCCTTCACCTCTAGTCAGGCGGTGAAGCTAAAAAGGCTATGGAGAATGTTGCTTGGATTGTTATGGCCTAGTGATGGGGTGTAGGAATAGGCCTTTTAAAATGAATGCTCCCTTAAACAGCCCACCCTGATGCAAAAAATGAAAAGGCACAATGTCCTCGTGATAGAGGCACTTGTTGACCTCGCTGAAAAAGCCAGGCAGCCTTGACAAGAACAAAAACTCATTAGGGTTTGACTATCTGTGCACAGTACACACATACAGAAAAGGTTCACACGGTGGGCAGCTAGTTCCCCTAAGAAAGCAGTCTGGGTGGGTGGTACAAGGGTGGCTTAAGAAGGTACAGGACAGTACTTTCGATTTACGGCTACTAGTAGCTGTCACTGTCCCTTTAACAGGGCTTTACCCTCCATCAACCCACCGCGCTCGGAAACAGCTATTCACCTGCTATTTTCAGCATTACTTTAAAGCAACGTGTTTAAGCCCTAAAAGCAGCTGATCCCTTTCTCTTCTGGCAACCTTCCTCTTGCATGAAGCGTATCCTGCCTTTTATACGCACAACCCGTCCAGTCTGCAGTAGCGCCAACTGCGATCGGCGGGTCGAGCCTGCCAAAAGAGCTCAACCAACCGACGGAGTCTGGGTTCAAATTACTGCAGAAAGCGGCGGGCGGGCCTCTCCGTGCCTGCGCGGGGCGGCGGTAGCTGTTGTCTGCCTCCAGCTGACAGGGCGAGCGCTGAGGCGGAGCCAGCGCGGAAAAATACCACCCGGCTCGGTTACGCCAAGAAAGCGTGGAAAAATGTAACGCCGCCGGAGAGCCTCGGCGCCCACGGAAGACTCTCCTTGCTTGAAGCCCGTCCCAGGAAAACGGGCTGGCGCGAGCCGGACTTGGGCTTCCCCGCTGCTCTCCCTCCACGGCAGCCGCCCTCACCCCGCGCCCCTCTCCTCCGCGGAGCTGCTTCCACCCAGCCCGACGCGCGTACCTTGTTGAGGGCCGGGTCGCGTAAGACGTCG